TGTTCGTACGAACAAAAGTAAGAGAAATTTAGGATAAGAATACGAACATGTTCTTGCATGAGGCCCAATATTTGTTGAGTAATGACAAAGATTTAACCATTTGAGTTAAACTTGTCGAGAAATCTCTTCATGTTTGACATGTTTTTAGTGAATGACTATCGGCTACTAACTTGCCAAATTTTAGCTTGATATCTGTAAAATTCACTGAGATGGCTCATTGGCTAATGCTGATTAGTTGTTGCATGATGTGCACCCAGTCGTTACGTTGATCGGTTCAATAAAGTCTGGGAACAGAGGTCGTAGGGTAAAACCCAAAAGATGTACTCAAGGAAAAGTTGCCTTACTTCAACATATTTTTACACCAGTRAAACTAAAAAATAAGCCGTCCAAGAAATTACTCCAGTAAAAAAGTATTTCCTAAAAAGATTACTTCAGCACCGAGTATATCTGATCATATCTGATTAAATATTTTTAAATGAAGTAATCAGACTCACAAAATAAAAGGATGTTGTGTGCAAATTCTGGTGTGTTTAAAGACTAAGACAAAGAAAATCATTACAAATAAATACAATAATTACAAAATAAACAACTCCAGTAGAAGAAATACTTTTCCAAGTCAATTTTATTTTCATTACAAAACTTCTAAAACTAATAGCTACAGTAGGCAATGTGTATGTGTGTGTTTGTGCAAGCAGGTATTCCTTACTATGTGRGAACCATTTATGTCATGCACCTCTATACTTGTGGGGACCAAGTGGTACTTATGAGGAACTAAGTCTATTTCTCATGGGGGGAAATTCCATTAGTGGGTTAGGTTTAGGGTAAGGGGTCAGGTTAGCCTGTAGAAATTAATAGACGTCAATGCATTGTCCCCATAAAGATAGCTCAACTAGACTGTGCGTGTGTGTTTGTGTGTGTGTATAATACAGAACATGGTAAAGTACTTCCAGTGACTATATCTACTGTTTACCATATATTCACTTGACCTCCAAGTGTCTCAGCAGACAGAGGTCTCACTTCAACATAAACTGTATACTGTATATCTCTCCGGTGCGTTTCTGGTTAAAACATGTTTGTTCTTTATTCTGTGAAGTTACTTATGGTTGGTAGAGTGTTCACAAATACTGCTCAAGTAAGAGTATCAATACTTCCTAATAATAAAGTAAAAGTAAAATTCTGTAAAACTACTACTAAAAGTACATTTTTTTTCCAAAACGTTACTCCAGTAAATATAACTAGTTACTAATCTCTGCTGTGAAGTAATTTAGGCAATATTCTACTAGTGATAAAGACAAATGAACACACGCAGACCTGGGCAAAATGAGTCATGATAAATATTTCTTGCTTCCTCGGCYTCATCACATTAAACAGCTTTAAACATGTAAACGTGTGGAAGTGTCACTTTGGTCCCCTCATTAATACGTTGTCAGAAGGTTAAAGAGTTTGTTTGTCTCTTGTTCTCTTCCTGGAGCTCAACCTGTCAGTCAAACACAAACAWGTCTCTTCTGTTAAACGTCTCTCACTTCCTTTTCTGGAAAACATCTGCAGGAGTAAAGTGTATCTTCAGGCAACCGCGCTGTTTAGCATCAGCCCTTTCTTCTCTGCTCATCTTTCAGCAACTTCTCATCGTGACCTCTGACCTCCTCACCTTACATTAACTCTCTCTGTCTCCCCTCTGAGCTGCAGGTGAACCCAGCAGAAMTAAAGACGGGCTACCTGTCCATCATAATGGACCCGGTGGAGGTGCCGCTGGACGAGCAGTGTGAATACCTCCCCTACGACTCGTCACAGTGGGAGATCTCCAGAGACAGACTGAGACTGGGTGAGCAGCCAGGAAACAACCAATAAGAGCCACATTCGAGGGGAGGTGTTTGTGTGTGAAACAAAAAATTGAGAAACAAAAGCAGAATCAGCATTTAGACAAATATGTGAACAGTATCTAAATAGTCATGTGCAGAGTTGTAAAGTAACTAAGTACAAACACTTTGTACTTAAGTAGAAATTTTGGTTATCTGTACTTTACTTGAGTAATTATTTTTCGGCGAACTTTTTACTTTTACTCATTACATTTTTACACAATTATCTGTACTTTCTACTCACTGCATTTTTAAAAAAGGTAAGAAGTAGAAAGTCGTTACTCCTGTTTTATTCCAAGTTATTACTTAAAAAAAATACTATCCTGTGTCTCCTGGATA